CAAACCTGCGAATATAGCGAGCCGGGTATAAATCCATATATATATATATATATATATATATATATATATATATATATATATATATATATATATACATCCGACCTTGAATGTCAACATAGTTTGTACAGTGACGTGCAGAAGGTATTGTCGCATGTTGCCAGGCAACATTCTTATATCTCAATTGTGTGTTTGTCTTCGAAAAAAACGCAAAAAATAAATTGGGATACCTCGTTCCGGGGATTCCAACCTTGTGGCAGCACTTCCCTCATTACACCAAAGATGGTGGGTCGGTAAAAAATCGACACCAGCGCGAGGCTGGTTGCAGAGACCAGTTAATATTGGGCTCTTATCCCTGGTGCACGTGCTTGGGCTCCCTACTTTAAACCGGCTTTGTGCTAAATCCCCACCGTGTTGGCGGGGAGTAAATAACGACTGTTTATATTATGACATAATACTTGAAAGAAAATTTATTAAATGTCTGTGGATGGGCATTTTCATTTTCATTTCAGTAAGTCAATTGATATTTGTTGCTTAAGTTCATTTATAATTTATTCAGAAATATATGCGTTTTTTATTTAACTTTCAAATATTTATGAAAACAAAAATATCTACACCACGATTCTCTTTTGTCTTAAGTAACGCCTGAATTTTCGAAATCAAATATTTCCTTATTTTAAAGATTATAAGAAAAGTAATTCCCTCGTTGATATTTTTTCTTGCTACAGTGATCCCTCGGTATCCGCGTAGGATTGATAACGGGATCTTGAAAAACAAATCTTGTCGATAATACTGTCATTTTAAAAACATCTAACTGTAAAATACGTTTAATGACAAGGGAAACAATATTATAAAACAGTACAGATCTGCACTCAACATTATTTGCTTTGAAAATAGCCGGAATAAATAAAACAGAAAAAAATATAATAACAGCGAACGCCTTGAAAATTGCTAAGGAATTAATCAAAATCATATGGTATTTATCTCTATGTTCATTTTCTACATAAAAGAAAATCTGTAAGAACATTAGAAAAAAGGGAATAAAAAACTTATGAAAATGTCAGATACAATGTATCACAAACACAGACACACACACACATACATACATACATACATACATACATACACATATATAGGGAGGCCGTCCCAGCGTTTGGATTCGAGAATAAAACAGCATTTATCCCCCAGGATTTTGAATCCGTCCTCCAGGAATAGACAACTGACTAACAGTTCTGGTGCTTCTATTGCTGAACATTTAATAAATAGAAGGAAATGTGTGGAAAATTTTAGTGCTGACCGATTTATAATTTTATCTAGGCCCCACTCCACATTTCACCTCAAGGTCCTAGAGTCCTTGCATGTCACATCTCGTGAGCCTTCCCTTTGTAAACAGAGGGAATGCTTGCTGGGTCTGAATATTATTGGACTATAGTTTCTTGAAATTCATAATTTTTTCCCCCATTCGATTACATTCGTTAATTAAAAATTAATTTACACGCTTTTTTAAATTCCCAGAATAAATAAACTTGATAAGTCCTGGGACGAAACCGGTTGTTTTTATTTTAGCTTTTGCTTTTAAAAATGCCTTACTTATAAATATTGTCTTTTTCCTATATATTATTAAATTCTGTACCACGAAAAACTTATATATATATATATATATATATATATATATATATATATATATATATATATATATATATATATATAGTGGACTCTCTCGTCAATTTCGACGTATGAGGATCCTACAAACATATTCAGTTTTTATATTTGTGTCGTATGTGACACTTCAGTCCCGTTAGTGACATGCATACAAGTTCATATATTGTGCAACAGCGAGGATCTAGGGACATAGCAACAGGAATATTTACTGATGCTTTTCATCATTTTCGTTCATTTCTTAGCCTGTCAATACAACTGATTTCGAAATTTCTGATACCACTCTGCCACAAATATCTCCAGTTATTTCTATCCAGGGCAACTCGCTTGAAGTTAGTATGAGGCACATTGACGGCTCAGAGGTTACACTTTAGCTTGTCTTTATACCTGAGCCATGGCCGTCCAACAAGTCCTTTGTCCACACAACCACTCTGTCGTCAGTCATTCTTGCAACATGACCAGCCCAGCGAAGTTGTGACGACATCAGGAAATTCTCAGTTCCACCAATGTTACATTTTGTGATAAGATCAACTTTGAACATCCTATGTGTATGTATAAACACACACCCACAAACACAACCAAGACACACACACACACATATATATATATATATATATATATATATATAACACCTACGAATATACATTATCATCTGAATCCCACATAGACAATCTAGAATTATTATACACTTATATATATATATATATATAAAGCAATATTTAGATTTTTCAGGTAGGTTGTTAACTGTTAATTTCTAAAAATTTTGGATCGATGCACCGTCTCAACTTGAATTCTGAACGTCACAAAAATAATATTAACGTTAGATTGACAAACTTTGTCTTTTATCTCATATATATATATATATATATATATATATATAATTGGGTATTTGGACAGCAATCCCTGTTTAATACAAATTTCATTAAAAACAACTGATAAGGTATACTGTGGTGTTAATTTTTTATTCAATTTTCTTGTATTGTTATAGTTTTCTTCTTTTTGGCTATACTTTTAAATGAATCTGTTGACTGTTTTACGTATGTATCTAAAATTATAGGAATGTTTCATTTTCCAAAAATGGTCAGAACATTGTGGCCGTGTTCATAGTTGATATTACTGAGTGTTGGCTTTTTCGTTTTTATTAATAATGCTTCTATTATTTGTAGCCTTTTTACATGTGGCTATTATATTTGTATTATCAACGAGTATATTGCAGATGGAGTTTGGTAGGTTTCCATGTGTATTTAAATGAAACCTAACTGAGCTATGGTCAGAGAGATGTAACGTGAGTCTTCTTGTTACGCATGTTGTAGTATATCCAATATAGTTATTTATGAATTTGAATTGATCAGGAACACAGTTCTTTAAGGGACATGTGTATTCGTAGGTAATATTGGTTCACTGTCATTTGTATATTGCAGGTCAGTTATTATTGTTGACAATGAGGTTAACACTTTTAATTTTCATAGTAGATAATTTAATTTTCTTGTTTTTGAAAAGAACCGATATGGTATTTCAATTTTCAAATAAATTATTGTATATTGTGATCAGAATTGTGGATAAACTTTCCAAAATGTATGTAGTGGCATTTATTTGTTCAAGTGCTTTCGAACATCTCAGTTATTTTCAGGAACCAATGTGGTGTTTCTATGGTAGGTAGAATTTCTTTGTCTACATCCTGGTATTTGTCTACATCCTGATATTTGTTGGAAAGCTGACAGTTTGAGAGATAGGCCGCAGTAAATGTTTGCAGATTTGAAAAAATTATTTTATCTCTCTCTCTGTCTCTGTCTCTCTGTCTCTCTGTCTCTCTCTCTGTCTCTCTGTCTCTCTCTGTCTCTCTCTCTCTCTATATATATATATATATATATATATATATATATATAAATGTGGTCTAACGATTGCATCTAGCATGAAACAGACTGTCGCCTCTAAGTGTTGACTTCTATGTTCACTTTTATATTTACACACGCTCTATCTCTGATATTGAGCACTTTATCCCATAAATATAACACATCTTAAGACTATATATATATATATATATATATATATATATATATGGTATTTCTTGTTTGAATATCTAAGTCCAAAGAGATATGCATACATTTGTTCTTATCTATCTATCTGTCTATCTATCTTTGTCAACGTTTCATATTTATCTCAACATTTTCATATCTATCTGTCCAATCTCATATAACTGAATTTGTTTACATCTATCTATCTATCTATCTATCTATCTATCTATCTATCTATCTATCTATCTAATTATGTCTGTTCATATCTCTATCTATATTTATGGGTGAAATTTCACAATATCAGAAATAGAGCATATGCAAATATAAATGCGGAGAATGAGGTTCGTGCCAAGTGTTAGGTTAATACGATAGACCTTACTACCCATAATGCACCACTGACCAGCTTATATAAATAGTCAAGCCAAAACACACACGTGTGCGCGCGAGTGTGTATGTGAGTGAGAGAGAGAGCGTGAGAGAGAGAGAAAAAGTCTGGTGCTACATAACACTGGGTTGATTCATGTCGTTTAACTGAAAATGCAGAAGTATTTATGCTGGTTCTCTGAACATAGCGATTATTTATTCTTTCGTCTTTTGATGACTGAAAATTAAGATTTTTCAATTGAAAATGGTAAGCTTCTACAACTCTTATATAAAAAAAAATGAAGACACAACCTTATTGCGATTATTTGAATACAACCTGATGCCACCTTCGGACCATTTTGGGTCGATTTTTGTTTTCCATACGTCACGAAACCTAAGGTAGCGTCGGCTGCCTTCTATTAAGACAATATTTTCATACATTACTATTAAAAATCTTAGAAAATGAAAATTACAGCCGGGAGCGAACCTCTATTCCTTGAGCCTGTAAAACCATCATTAATCAAGTGTGCTTTACCGTTCGGCCACGGCGCTCTCTAGAATAAAGTATCACTTATTTACACTTTTATCAAATATATAACTCTCGTTGGGATTTTTCAATGTCAATATCTGCTATCTATATTTCTTACGTGACAGATAAACATAGTAAGTTAAGCATTTGACAGATTTTATTAGAACTTTATTTTCATTACTGGATTTATCGATTGATTATGTCAATGAAGGTTATTTAAAGCCAAAAATATTTTTAATTTGTAAGTATTTTTTGAGATAATAATAATTTACTGACTGTCCTACTAATTAACTCTTAGCCGGTAGCGAAGATGTGGATTCATACCCTTCCCAAGCGTTTTTACGCATATGAATAAAACAAACCCGACTGGAATTGGAACTCGGCTTTCCGATTTTCAATTCTGAGCCGTTATATTTTAGACCACCTACACATCTAAGCTTACAGCACTTGGTATTCACAAGCAGTCACCCATCTAGGCACGGACCAGGATCGCGGTTGCTTAACTTCGGCGATCGTACGGCGACAGGTGCTTCAAAGTGATATGACCGTAATCTTTTTATTACTGGAAACATTATTTTATTTTTTTTATTTTTTTTTGCTTTTTTTTCAGACGGTCTCCATATTCGAAAGTCATATTAATGAAAATGTAACTCTTAAAAGAAATCGAATCCGCATCCCTTTATTTTTTTATTATGGCAATTCACCCCAAGGAAGGCGGGAGTGCCACTAACACGCAAGGGGCAACAGAGGATTGTGAACAAGAGTAAAGCGGCGTGTTCGGAGAAAGGATACAGAGAAGGACGGGTAATAAGATCAAGGTATCAGAAGATGTCGATTGACATTACATTTGAACATTTGAAGATTATAGTTATCAGGAAGGCAAACAAGGGGAAGGGAGTTCCACACACAGGAAGTGCAAGAGAAGAAGCTGTTTGAGTAGAAGAAACGGTAGCATTTAACTGTTTTGACAGTAAAAGGGTGGGATTGAGATACCAACCTAGTAGCTCGCTTAAATTCATGCAGTCTGGGAACCTGCGGAAATAGCTCGTCAGAACAGTTGCCGTGAAAATACTTGTAGAAGAGACAGAGGGAAGCCACGGCACGTCTGTGAGAAAGCGATTGTAGACGAGATGCCAGATCAGATCCTGAGAAATAATATTTTAGCCAAGTGTGCTTTACCTTTCGGCAACGGAGTTCTCTCCAGCAAAACTCGAGTTTCTTGACAAAATCCAAAGAATGATCTGCAATGTAATAGATCCTGACTTGTCATCTCGACTTCAGTCACTTCCTCAACGATGTGACCTGGCTTCCCTCTGTCTTTTCTACAAATATTTTCATGATAACTGCTCTGACGAGCTTTTTTCCCTGGTGCCCCGTCTACGTGAATTTAAGTATGCCACGCAATTGGCATCTGGGCCCCACCCGTTTATTGCTGAAATAGTTAAATATAACCACCACTTCTACTCCAACCGTTTCTTTTCTCGCACTTCCCTCCTGTGGAACTCCTTTCCGCTTACTAACACGTTTCCGCCTGCAAAAATTTAAATGCAACGTCAATCGCCATCTTCTAAATTCTTCGGCCCTTTTTATCTTTTATCTTTTCCTCAATCCCACCTAGACTCAGTCTTTTCTCTCATATTCACTCTCTGTAATCCTCTGCATACTAGTGGCCTTCCCGCATTGTCTTTGATGTCTATATTTGCTAACTAAATTTCCTTACCTCAAAAGTAAGCACAGTAATTTATTCATTAATTTTAATAGGACATTATTTTTATTACCGCAAACGTTATTTTACTGGGCACACGTGTTTGCGTAAACGTATCTATCTATCTATCTATCTATCTATCTATCTATCTATCTAAGCCTGTTCATCTATCTATCTATCTATCTATCTATCTATCTATCTATCTAAGCCTGTTCATCTACCTATCTATCTATCTATCTATCTATCTATCTATCTATCTATCTATCTAAGCCTGTTCATCTATCTATCTATCTATCTATCTATCTATCTAAGCCTGTTCATCTCATCTATCTATCTATCTATCTATCTATCTATCTATCTATCTATCTATCTAAGCCTGTTCATCTATCTATCTATCTATCTATCTATCTAAGCCTGTTCATCTATCTATCTATCTATCTATCTATCTATCTATCTATCTATCTATCTAAGCCTGTTCATCTATCTATCTATCTATCTATCTATCTATCTAAGCCTGTTCATCTATCTATCTATCTATCTATCTATCTATCTATCTAAGCCTGTTCATCTACCTATCTATCTATCTATCTATCTATCTATCTATCTATCTATCTAAGCCTGTTCATCTATCTATCTATCTATCTATCTATCTATCTATCTATCTATCTATCTCCCAATGAGATTAGCGTGCGCCGGCCTAGAGAATCGAAAGTAAAGAATAAATACCCCCAAGCAGGAATCGAACCTCGATTATGATTTAAATAGCCATGTTTTGCGACCCACCTAGTTTTACATGTCCATCTCAAGAGAGGAGGACAGTTTTGGCCCTAAATTTTACATCCGATAGAAAGACAGCAATTTCTTGAGGAATCCTCTTATTTTGCGGCCTTCAGTTTCTTGCTTTACCTCTTTCTCCGTGAATGCTGAAGGGATGAGAAGAAGAAGTATGGAAGTCAGCACTTGCCAAAATGGCATGCTAGTAAAGTATTATCAAATGAGTTTTCAAGAGCAGAGACTCTCAGAGTTTTATGGAACGATGGGAACCTGACATTCATCGCTATGGCAACTGAAGGAGATGCCTGAACAAAGAGAAGGCAGCGGATGATGGAGAGTGGTGGGATGAGAGGTAGCCGTTATGTGCTGCTGGTGAACATCTGGGGACATTGATCGCTAATCTGTCACATCTTGAGATATAAGGACTGAGCAAAAGTGGATGAGAGAAATGAGTTAAGAAAAGGGAAAGGGAAAAGTATGGCTTAAGGACAAGAAAGAAAGCAGAAGATGGCCAGAGGAGGAGGAGACAAAAGTGAGAAGAATTGTGAAAGAGAAATTAAGAGAAAAGAATGAGAGAATTCTTTAAGAAATTTATAAAGAAAAAGAATAAATTCTCTAGTGAAACTAAGAGAAAAGAGAAGAGAAAAGTGTCGAGGGAAAGAAAAAGAAATGGAGAAACTAAATTGAATGGGGGGGGGGAGAAATCAAGGAGGGTAGAATAAAATGTTCAAGAGAAAGTCGATAAAAGAAGCGGGAATGGTTTTTAAACAGAGTAAAGTGAATGCAGATAAATAAAGTAAAAACAATATAGGAGAAAGAAAGAAAGAAAGAAAGAAAGAAAGAAAAAAGAAAGAAAAAATAAAGAAAGAAAGAAAGAAGGAAACTATGGAAGAAAACGAAAAAGAAATAAAGTATCAAAAAAAAGAAATATAAAAAGGAAAACAAAGTAAAAGAAAGAGGCTATGCATGAAAAAAAAATATAGAGGGTAAAACTTTCAAAGAAGGGAAGAAATAAATAAACGAGGGAAGAATTAACTATGGAAGAAACAAAAGAAATTTTAAACGAAATAAACTATCAGCAAATTCAAAGAAAGAAAGAAAGAAACAAAGAAAGAAAGAAACAAAGAAACAAAGAAAAGAGACAAAATGTAACTATAAAAGAAAGAAGAAAAGAAAAGAAAAGGGAAGTAAAAGGATCTAAAGAAGAAAGAAGAAGACTACGTGTGAAAAAGAAAGAAATATAGAAAGGAAGACACTAACAAAGAAAGGAAGAAATAAATAAACTATGGAAGAAAACGATAGAAAGAAATAAACTCTCCAAGAAATCAAAGAAATAAAAAAGAAAGAGATAAAATGTGAAAGAATCAACCTATAAAAGAAAGAAAGAAAGAAAGAAAAAGGAAAAGTAAAATGATCTAAAAAAGAAAGAAAGAGACAATGTGTGAAAAAGAAAGAAATATGGAAAGGAAGAAACTATCAAAGAACGGAAGAAATAAAGAAACTATGGAAGAAAAATGTATAGAAGTGAACTATTAAAGAAAAAAAGGAATGTAGAAAGAAAAAGGAAAGAGATAAAATATAAAAGAATGAAGATAGAAACAAAGAAAGAAACAATGAAAGAAAAAAGAAACAAAAAAGAACTAAGGTAAAAATATCTAAAGAGAAAGAACGAAACTATATATGAAAAAGAACGAAATATAGAAAGAATGAAAAACTGAAACGCAAAAAGTAAAATGAAATACGAAAAGGCGCACAAAGCATAAGGATAAACAGAACAAAAACTAACAGGAGAATGGACTAAAAAACATGAGTTTTTTTGCTGAATGAAGAAATATTGATAAGAAAGAAGGGGATGCAAGAAAAACGAGAAGAGAAAAAGGAAAAAGGAATCCGTTAAAAAGTAAAGAAAGGAAGTAGAGAAAAGAACATAATTAAAAAAAAAACAAGAACGACGAAAAAAGAAAAGAAATTAATTTGAAAAGCAAGAAAACAGTTCAAGTAAAGAGAAATTGCTGATGCTCAGGAAATGGAGGTGTAACGAGGAAAGAAACGAAAAGAAAAAAAATCATTATGGCGATCGAATCAAATTCAACAGATATAAATCAATATGAAAATGGTGGCGATGACAAAAGGCAAAAGCGATTTTCGTTCAAGTGAAAGAAGAATCTCTTAAGAAGATGAATGAAAACAGAACTCTTAAAAAAAAAACACTGATTTGTCGAAAAAACCCACAAACCAAAAATTATCTGAAAAATGTTTCACTTTTGTACTAATGCCTGTAAGGACATTAAATTATCTCTTCGTCTCACAGCTATACGTTAAATAGCAGGGTAGACAGAGCAATATGGTCTTGAGTAGTAGCCGGTTTAGAAGATGAATACTTCTGAATACAAAGCCCTGAAAAAAAGCAACAGGAAACCATACGTCTCAAGAAGCCATGGCTATTTACAGATAATAATCCGTGGAGAGGCACAACTAGCAACATCTTTTTTTTTCTTTTTTTAAATCAATTCACCCCAAACGAGGCGATAATGTCACTAAGACGCAAGAGGCTACTGAGAAGTAAAGAAAACGTGAAGACTAGAAGGAACCGGAAACACAATCCTAAACAGGAAACAAGGGATTTAACATCTTCACCTTTTCAAAAGACCAGGAAGGAGTGTGAATCGAACGATATCTATCCTTAAAATGATATGGCGTATTTAAACAAAAGTATTAATAATTATTTTGAAGACTGAACGATTTTAGATTCAAATTAAACTTTCGATTGAATGACTCATTTGTTTCTTACGGCTTATCAACCCATTGTGGGTTATTTAAAACTAAAGTATATTTCGGATTGTGGGAGGTTCAACACAGTATTCGGGGGCTTCAAGTGGTCCCCCATCTAAGTACTAATCGGGCTCGAGAGTGCTTAACTTTGTTGAGTGAACGAATTTGATTGCAAGCAGAAGCTTGATACTTTTTTTTCCGTATTTTTTTTTTGTTATATAGAATAAAGTGTCGCTGCCGATACTTGAGTTTGAACATAGATCGCCTGTGTTTGCTCACTTATTGAATTAAGTGGGTCACGTGAACATAGAGGAAACGCATATATAGGAAGTCGCGTGACGTCTAAATGATCTGTATTTCTAGTCTATCCTCTATTACCATTCGGATCACCATTTCTACTCTATCCTCTATTACTATACGGACCGCTATTCGCTACTCTATACACTCTACTAGTTCTCTATTCAGATCAATATACAGGTTACTTGGCTAGCGAGTATTATCGAGCAAGTACTATTAGTGCGAGTGTTATTCGAAGGCGTCCGACATTGGCATTGTTCAACGGCGTACTATAGTTGTATCTGTGATTGCAAAGTCTCTACTACAAGTGACATCACAAAAGTGGCAACGGGTATTTGTTGACATCACAAAATTTTTAATATAAGAAAAGAGTTAGGCTCATGGCAATTTTCTAAGCGTAGCTCAGATGTAGCACAAGGACGAAAGTATGGGGCACCTAGTGAGGATCGAACTCACTACTCAGTCGTAATTGTTCTAGCGAGACAAGCTTGTTAATCATTAAATCCCGTCATGATACCCTAGACTTAGGCTTATGTATGGAAAAGTAATTTATTTAGTAAACACTGCAACGATTGAGGATACATCAAGTTGGGGCTGGTGATATTGGTGCTAAGGGAACTGGTGTTTTCAGCCTGATCTGACCATTGTAAAGTGTAATCTTTCAAAATCACGCCAAAATAATAATGGCGTTAAACTATGACGAAAATAGCTAAATTTTAATTTAAAATTACAAAATTCCCAGAAAAAAAATATTAAGAGGAAAATTACTAGATATGCAGAGTGTGGCAGAAGTCACTTAAAGATTTTAAAATTAAAAAATTCAAGATTTTTTATTACTCTCAAATAGTTTTATAGAGAGTGAAAATTCAAACACTGGAAATATATTGCAATTTAATTATGAAACATTATACGACGTAAATATTCTCCATTTTTGACTTCACACAGATACACTATTTTCGATAGTATTCTCAAGTGTACAGAGTGGTTAATATTTCTGATTAATATGCATATCTATAGCCGGCCATTCGTATTGGAGGATACCCGTCTACTAGGGCAGCTAGTTAATCCCTATATATTTTTAAATACCTACGTGACTTTTGGAACTACCTTTAACTATTTAACTAGTACAATATTTATTTACACCATTTACCTTGTTCGGACTGTTGTCTTCGTCTTTGCTGCCATATTCACGATGTCTCGGCCGTTGTACACTCCAGCCTTCTTCAGGTGATTGGAATTTTAAACTGAACCATTTATTCCATCCATCGGGATAGATTTCCAACTGCCAGATAACTAATTTGATTTGCTGATTATACATATTTATGCCCTGGTTTGGTTTATTTTGTTTTACGACATATCAACTTCAATGGGTTATTTAATGCCGACAAGATTTTTAAGATAGGTTCGTAAGAATAGAATATGTATTCTTTGTAAGAAATCAGTTTGTAGATCAGGTTTCATTGACGTATTTTTGTAAAGAGGGTTTTTTTTCGAGGGTTATTGATAGTAATATTTCTTCCAAAAATTGTATTGCTGGTATTTTTACTAAAAAATCTACTTTTTAAACTGTCATAGTGTTTTGACTCCAGTTTGGAGGATTAACTCATTGTCCATAGCTGAGACCCTAACAGGTGCTACCACCTCGGGTCAGGGTGGACCTGGGAAAGACAGCAATTAAGAGGTGGTTCCATGCTTCTCAAAACCTCCCGATCAGAGGACTCGCTGTCGGATGTAGTTTATAGTCACACCCAGAACGATATGTATATCCTGAAGAAGAGCAGCAATAAAATGAGAAACAATGAAACGTCAGATTTCTAGGACCCTCGCTCTTTGCTTTACCGCTGAACAAGGTTGAATGTTAACACTTTTCTTTTAGATTTGGATTAAAGTGGCAATGCAGAAAAAAAAAGAAAGAAAAGAATTGTTCTAATATTTCTTTTGACAATTCCATTCCAGCTTTAGCGAGAGTCAAAGTTGGCATCAAACCCCTATCCTTTAACAGTTCTTACGTGTTTTTTTTTTGTTTTTTTTATCGCTTCGTAATATTTTATAAACGAAATATTTGCATAAAGCGGACCTGCGAATTACTTAAAAACAATGGGGCCATTCCTCTTAGAAGGATGGACGCGCATACAAATTCCCATAGCAAACAAACCATTAATTTGGAAACGTGTTAATCAGAATTTAAGCAGAAGAAAATATTACTTCGTTAATAGATGATAAATACGAAAGAAGGGAAATTTGAGTAAGAAAAAGTAAAAGAGAAAATGCAGTTGAGAATGGAGAGAAAATGTAAACAAAACAAAGAGAGTGAGAAAGAGAAAGAGAGGGTGAAGAAACTAGTTTGTGTTCATGAAAAAGAAGAAAGAAAGAAAGAAAGAAAGAAAAAAAGAGAGGAGAAAGGATATTTAAAACAGGAAAAAGAAAAAGGAAACAGTGAAAATATAAAAAAGAAGAAGAAGAAGAAAGTAGATACCGTGAAAAAGAAAGAAAGAATGAAGAAAACAAATTTTATTAAGCAAAGAAGAAGAAAAATATAAAAGAGACTGAAAGGAAAATTAAAAAAAAAAAAGGAAAAAGTGAGAAAATAAAAATGAAGAGGGAAATACATACAGTAAAAAAGAAGAAGAAAAAAAGAATGAAAATAACAGATTGTAGTAAGCGAATACGAAGCAGAAAAACAGAAAAAGAAAATAAAAGGAAATTTAAATCAGGAGAAAGAAAACAAAACAATGAAAAGAAAAATATAAAGAGGGAAGTAAATGAAAGTGAAAGAAAAAGACAAAAAAAAACAATAGGGAAAATAGGTATCGATATAAAAAAGCAGAGAAAGAAATAAAAAAAAAAAATAATTAAATATTATTTGATAAGAAAAGAAAAGAAAATAATAAAAACCTATATAACAAAAACAAAAAAAAATCAAGCTTCTGCTTGCAAGCAAATTCGTTCACCCAACAAAGTTAAGCACCAATATCACAACTTGATGTATCCTCAATCGTTGCAGTGTTTACTAAATAAATTACTTTTCCACACATAAGCCTAAGTCTAGGGTATCATGACGTGATTTAATGATTAACAAGCTTGTCTCGCTAGAACAATTACGACTGAGTAGTGAGTTCGATCCTCACTACGTGCCCCATACTTTCGTCCTTGTGCCACATCTGAGCTACGCTTAGAAAATTGCCATGAGCCTAACTCTTTTCTTATATTAAACATTTTGTGATGTCAACAAATACCCGTTGCCACTTTTGTGATGTCACTTGTAGTAGAGACTTTGCAATCACAGATACAACTATAGTACGCCGTTGAACAATGCCAATGTCGGACGCCTCCGAATAACACTCGCACTAATAGTACTTGCTCGATAATACTCGCTAGCCAAGTAACCTGTATAGTGATCTGAATAGAGAACTAGTAGAGTGTATAGAGTAGCGAATAGCGGTCCGTATAGTAATAGAGGATAGAGTAGAAATGGTGATCCGAATGGTAATAGAGGATAGACTAGAAATACAGATCATTTAGACGCCACGCGACTTCCTATATATGCGTTTCCTCTATGTTCACGTGACCCACTTAATTCAATAAGTGAGTAAACACAAGCGATCTATGTTCAAACTCAAGTGTCGGCAGCAACACTTTATTCTATATAACAAAAAAAGTACCTGAAAAATAAAACCAAAAAAAAATCAAGCTTCTGCTTGCAATCAAATTCGTTCACTCAACAAAGATAAGCACTCTCGAGCCCGATTAGTACTTAGATGGGGGACCACTCGAAGCCACCGAATAATGTGATGAATCTCCCACAATCCGAAATAATTAAAGAGATTAAAAGTATATTTAATAATTCATCAGAAAGATGAAAAAGTTATCGGAAAAGAAGATTTGATAATAAATAGCGAAGGAAGACTAGAAAAAAATAAATCTATATAATACTAAAACTCTAATCATATATGTATGTATGTGCGTTCCCGAGATACAGCTTGAACGATACATAATAACCCAACCAATTTCGGAGTAAACTGAACCCCTGCCGAATACATCGCAAAATTTCATTAAAATTAGACAAGGGGTTCTTAGGTTAGGTCCGTTTTTCTGTTCTTAGGATACGTTTCATAGGAAATTCGGTATTTGCTTTCAATAGACATCCTTATAACAATTCACGTATACAGTGTAACCCGGATATAAGAAAGTTGTCGGGACCGGATAAGAAGTCTCTTATATCCGGGTTTTTCTTATATCTGGGTTTGGTCTAATTTATATACAATAACACAGGCTCTAATTTGGGACCAGAGAAAATCTCTCTTATATCCGGGTTTATCTTATATCCGGGTCTCTTATATCCGGGTTACACTGTATAAACAAACACTTACACATTATATTCCAACTATTATGTGTGCGAAAAACAACACGCACAAGATATTATAACAACGTTATTGAATAAATTTAAATATACATAACACAACATATATTTATACAATTTACTACACGACATTAGAACTTTTTTTATAAACAAATGTCTCAGAGGTTTTATAAGTACTTGATAGGTGAAGACGCTATCTGGGTGTGTCATTGTAAAACGTAATCTGTATGGCTTGAAAAATGTGTCACATGACTTGATGGTAAATAAATAAATAGCTGCACGCTGGTTTGCCACCGTTACGTATTTTGAAATAAATACGAAGAAGAAACATGTATAATAAAATTATATTTTAAATTCCCTAGAAAAATGAAACTAAGTACACAAAAATGAGGCATCCATATTTTATGTTATTTCAATAAATATGAATCTCCTAAGCAGACGATTAATGTTTGTTTTTATTTTGGGGGGAAAGACCTTTGCCGTTGAAAATTATAATATGGTAAATACTAAAATTCGTATAAATTTGGAGGCTACTATTCCTTGAATGGAAACGTCATTAGTTTGATAGCAGTTTGCAATTCCATACTAAAAAAGTAAACGTTTTCCTACATTTAAGGGAAATATCTTAAAATTAAGTGATATTCGTGGAATGAATATATGAATGAATGAATATATGAACTATTACAACTATTCAATTTATTTCAATGATATATTAGTAATTGTAATATGTTGAAGGTTTTGTCGTTTTTTTCTATTGTTCTGTGTATCAGGAGGGGCATTTTTTCAAGAATTCTAAAAACCTTTCTATTTATTAATCATTGCGTCTGATCTAAGTAATATTGTACAATGTGAGTAATAAGAATTATTACAATAACTTTTATTGCAAATACGAATTAAAATACGTATGGTTAATAATAAAATTGATTATATTATTACCACATCATTTTGTATCATGAACTGCTTTTAAAAGGAATCCAACGGATTTATAGGGGGCCTAGTTTGCAAATAAAATAGAAAGAAGAAGAAATCATAGGAAAAGTATATTTGATATTGAAAAAGAATAAATGGGTGAAATAATGAGAAGAGTACATTTGATTGAAAAGTCAATAAAGGGGAGAAATTATAGGAAACGTATATTTGTTTAGAAAAAGTATAAAGGGGAGAAATTATAGGAAAAGTGCATATGATTGAAAAATGAAAAAAAAGGAGAAATTATAGGTAAAGTATATTTGTTTAGAAAAAGAAGAAAGAGGAGAAATTATAAGAAAAGTACATTTGATTCGAAAGAGAATAAAAGAGAGAAGTTATAGGAAATGTATATTTGATTAGAAAAAGAATAAAAGGGAGAAATCATAGGAAAAGTACATTTGATTAGAAAAAGAATAAAGGGGAGAAATTATAGGAAAATTACTTTTGATTAGAAAAAGAAGGAGAGAAATCGTAAGAAAAGTACATTTCATTAGAAAAAGTATAAAGAGGAGACATTATAGGAAAAGGACATTTGATTAGAAAAAGAAGGGGAGAAATTATAGGAAAAGTACATTTGATTAGAAAAAGAAGGGGAGACATTATAGGAAAAGTACATTTGATTAGAAAAAGAATAAAGGGAAGAAATTATAGGAAAATTACTTTTGATTAGAAAAAGAATAAAGGAGAGAAATTATAAGAAAAGTATATTTGATTAGAAAAAGTATAAAGGGGAGACATTATAGGAATAGTACATTTGATTAGAAAAAGAATAAAGAAGAAAAATGAAAATAAAATTACGCAGTAAGTGAGTAGACATGGCGGTAAACGTTTCTCTGAAGACCGCTGAATATGGCGAATAATTGTCGTATAGAAAATAGGTAAGAAAAAAGCAGGAATTGGTTTTAGAATTACTGGTAAAACTGAAAATAATGCTAACGTTTTATAAATTATGGAAAAATAAAAAAGAGAGAAAAGGGGGAAAGAAAGGGAAAACAAATGAAACTATTTTTTTTAATGAAGGAAGTGTTTGAAAAATGAAGTACGAGAAACACACTATGAAAAATGGGTCGGTCTCAAAGTGACGTAGGAATTTAAAAGACAAAAAATTGGTAAAGCTGTTGATAAAGAAAAGTGGGCTAAAATGGGAGTAGGGATAGGGTGAAAATGAATAAAGGAAGGGGGACATATTCAGAACAACTGTGATGATAAAAGATGGGAAAGTTCAAGACAAGTGCACAATGATCGGCTAAGGGAAAAGATTGAATGGAATATACACGCGTCGGCCCCTGAATGAAAATGGCATGCGGTCCAACTCTAAGTTAAATTCAAATCCACTTGTCTTGTTGCCTTAACCAATCGAAGAACATCAAATTCCAATCCGATTCTTCTGATCTTGTTCGTCTCCTTCTCAAAAACCCTCCAGATCCCCAGTCTGTTGCCTCTGTTTCTTTCGTCTTTTTTTTTTTTTTTCTTCTTCTATCTTCATCTATAATAAGCAGCGTGGCTACTTGACCGCCTCAGCTCGGCTATCGAACGCGCATCAACAGATGTTTGCTGTCGGAAAATCTCTTGTTTGTTATGGGTTTATTGAATCGCATCAAACATTTTGCTTCTTCGTATCCACAACTGTGAGGTTTCAGAGAAGCCCAGTC